ATACATTCCTGGATTGATAGATAGATTATGCCTTGATCTCTGATAACTAAATATTAGTGAGAGAACATTATTACAGATTGGGTTTGATACATAGTTGTGTGATTGTATGGTAGTTGTGTGATACAATGACATTAGAATTGTAATATATGTTAGACATAACTCTAAACTTCAAAATTTACACATTTAGTAGTTGCTAGAAAATACTTCTTCTTAAGATACTTTGGGATTTTCTTTTTTTTTACTTGGGGATATTTTAATTTAGGTTTAGGAGTTTTTCAAACGAGGCATAGTATATATGTAAGATGATGGATTTTCCAAGAGCGTCATTTGAACCCATTTTGTCTATTTCCACAAGTCCTAGCTCTTCTGGAAACATTGCAACCTCTGGAGATGCACTATAACATTTTTACATCAACTTTAAGAATTTAGTACATTTCCCCCCTTTCATCATTAGAGAGCACTCTGTACTCTGCCTACAATGGGAAATGGAAGTTAATTGCTTTGTGGTAGTAGTAATGGAATACATTCTGTCACTCAACTGATATCAGTGACCTAAGTGAAATGAGATAGTTTCTTGGTAGTGAATTCAAAAGGAAAGCTCTTAAATGTTTCCCACAGTAATCTTAGTATGACCTTGTCAGTATAATATAGCTGAAAGAGTGGCAACCTAATTTCTCTGTGATTATTCCCCTTAGCCATACCAGCTGCTAAGCTATACACTAGCTAAGTTTTGACATTAGAGATGGTCGTTTTTGTAAAGAACGAAATTGCTTTATTTATTACTGATTTTGCTTGCTTCATTTATTGAAACACTTTGTCACAGCTGGAGAATGCAGCTGCTTTCTTTTTCCTTATATTACAATAAAAATAAATCATAAGATAAATATATTAAAAGGAAAATAGTTTATTCAGTCAATGGTTAAAGTGAGCTGTCAGCAAGCTTGAAATACATAATTTTTGGAAATGAATACATAATTTTAATCATAACATATTGATAATGATCATTATTCTGATTATGCTGTAGTATTACTTTAAAACTTTTATATTTTAGTTAAGACAAATAAAATTTACCCCATCTTTGAAGAATTTAGGTTTGTGAATTGTATCTTTTATGTAATCATGTAGAAAAGTTGATCAGATGCAAATTTGTGTGTGGGTATGGGTATGTATTTAATGATACCAGAACCTGGCACATTTTAGCAATAGGAAACTTGAAAGCACAAAATACAATTGTTCCTGAATGATATGTCCAGCTTATAACATAAAAAAAAAAAAATATGAAGCACATTTCTCAAGTCGAAAAACTAAACTCATATTTTCTTTGTTGTTTTCTAAGGTCATATATTTAGATTTGATGGCTCAAGTCAGAGGGAGTTCATGTGTATAACAAGGAATGTATATACAAATCTTTTGATCATACTCGAGCTGGAAAAAAGTCCGTTAGCTTTTGAGAAAACAAAAACAAGTTTAGTTCTTTGAATTCTCCAAAATATTACCTGTAAACAGATATGTATTTTTTTCACTTTGGTGCAAGAGCAGCTTCTGGGTATTTTGGAAGAAGGTGAGATTGTCACGTTCTCCTCATATTTTCAGAGTATATGGAACATCTACAACAGACTCACTGACTATATCTGGCTAGTGAGGGAGCATTAAGACATTGTTCTAAGATGTCAGGTTGAGGATATTTGATCTGAATGGTAACTAGTGAATTAACAGTATTAATTCATTTTAGAAAAAAAAAAAGAAGATGGTTCAACTTAAGTTCATCAACATGTTGTATAGCAAAATAACTTATTTAGAATAAACAGTTGTAAGCATGGTTTTAAAATTTATGAACTTGGGTAGAATCCATTAAATTATATTGACTTCCATTTTTTTCATCTGTAAAAAGAAATTGCTAAACAAGATTAGTAATTGATGCTAACTTAAAGTAAAAATCTATTGAACATCTGCATGTCTTAGTTCTTCCCACCATCTCTATGAAATATGAAAACAGTATCATTTTGTAGTATTTTATGTAGGTAACATTGATTTACCATATTGCTTATGTTTTAGGAGAACAGGCTCATGCTTCCTTAGATGTATTACCAACATCATTCCTACCACACATCCTTAGAACCCTCCATGAGTGAAATCATTTGGTATTTTTTTTCTCCTTCTGACTTATTTCGGTTACAAAGTTAGGTAAAGTTCTATCCATTTAGTTACAAAAGGCAAAAATCATTTTTTTAAAAAATAGATGAATAGTATTGCATTGTGTAGCAATATACCACATGTTCTAGATCTGGGTATGAGTTTTCAGTGTCTAAAATCTAAATCAATGTCTAAATTTTCCCCCTAACTCAAGGCATATTTTAGCATAATGCTCATGTAACTTCTCAGTAATGTATTCAGTAACCAAATCACTACAGAAGTGAGCATTTCAACATTAGTCATTTTTTTTGTAGTGAAACATGAAACTCTACTAGTAAAATTCATTTTAAAAGAGATACACTATGCCATTTGTGGCGTAATCAATTAATTCTGGCAAATGTTCATATGCAATGTTCAGTAAACTATTTCCCATGGGCAAAATCTGAAATGCCATCTATTTCTGAACATACTGAAAGTTAAGAAATGTTATAAAATATTTAAATCCTTGAAAAATAATCACATAACATGTTGTAATGTAAAAATTTAAAATTCAAAATGTTAGTGTGCATAGATAAATTTTCATTGAATCGCAATTACAAACAGTTATTCATGTAACATATATGACTGCTTTTATGGTGAAAAGATGCAGTGGAGTAATTTTGACAGTGATATACCCTGAAAACTTGTGTTTGTTATCTAGCTCTTCAAATAAAAAGGGCTTGCCAGTCCTGTTTTAGTACAACATAAACAGAATCAACAACCAAGGCATTTTTCAGGATCAACACCTCAAAGACTAATCTCTAGAAATTTCACCCACTGTAGATGTACAGGTAATATGCATTTGTCAATTAAATATTTGATAAGTGAATTTTTGTGAAACCAGAATGTTTTTAAATCATATTGCTATGGGTTTATTTATTTTATCAACTTTTGATATCTTGATAAAATATATAGTAAAATAGTCTTTTAAGTTTAAAGATAATTTAAACAAATGTAATACCAGTGACTGAAGAACATAGATAAGACGTTGATAGGAACATTGATAGAGTGCTTTCAATACCACTGTCAATTCATGCCTTTTGATAAAAGTAGTTCTTCTGGCCCTCCCTGGTGGCGCAGCGGGTTAAAGCACAGCACTGAGAAGCTAAAGCACTTCCGCATAAGTTCAATCCCCGCCTGCCTGGGAGGTGACCACATGGCTCAGCAAACCTCTCCTGACCCACCCGCTGCTCCCCTCAGCAGTGTACTTCGTAAATCTGCCTATTCTGCTCCTCATTCTGTCTCTGATGAAGCCTCTCACCCTGAGCCTCTGGCCTGTACCCCAGTTCTATGTGAACAAATAAATCTTAAAAAAAAAAAGTAGTTCTTCTAAAAATAGTTTTGAATTGGAAATGTTTGCCATTAATTATAATATTCATAAAGGTATGTATTGCATGATTCATGATCTTTGTGATCAAGTACAAGTCATGACCAATTTACTAGTTGAATGACTTCATAATCAATTCTATATAATCACATCTTTTTTTTGTGATTTCATGTTATAACCTCAGTGAGAATTTCATTAAAGTAAATACAATTTTGAAAAAAAAATAAAACTTGGGTGTGTCTGTTGTAGTACAGGCTACTACTGTCAAGAAAAATTTTAGATATCCCATTTCCTAAAACTCATGACTCAGCTTTAGGGTAGATAATGATGATGTCTGCCATTCTTTGCTGCTTGAAACTCTTTTTGAACATTTTAATCAAGATCCTTAGATTTCAGAGGTAAGTAATGCTGAGGTTCGATCCATACCACACAGCTGAAACTTTAACTGATTTTGAAAATTTTCTTTTATCATGATACTAGCTAGCTAGCTATTCTGCTTTTCAGTGTTTTTAACAAATGATCTATGTTCTTGTAAAATACTATGCAAAAGATAACAACTGTAATAATCAAAGATCAATATGTTGAGGGCACTTATTTTTTAGTTATAATGGTCATTTTGTGAATACATAGTATTACATCCACAGTAATTACTTCAAGATGTAATTACTTCAAAAAGAACGTAACTAGTTCTATTTACTTAGAAATCTTTTATGACTTGATGAATCTCGAGGTGGGAAAAACTGATTGCTTATATACATGTCTTTAACAGTGGACCATTCAGATTCATCTCTGCATCACTGAATTCATAGTGAGTTTCGGCTCAATCTTCTTACTATTTTGGAAATACTAGCTCTACGAATTTAACAGGGAAAATCTAGATTATTTTTTCTGGGTGTCCTGAAATTTAACTGGCATCCCACGAATACCTGTTTACTCCTTATTCTTTTATTTATTTATTTTTTAGTTTTATTTATTTATGCATACAGAACTGGAGTACAGGCCAGAGGTGCGGGGGGCAGTGAGAGGCTTCACCAGAGACAGAGTGGGAGTAGAATAGGTAGTGCACTGCTTAGGGGAGCAACGGGCGGGCCAGGAGAGGTCTGCCGCGCCATGTGGGTCACCTCCAGGTCGGGCGGATCAAACTCATGCTGAAGTGGCTTTAGCTTCTTAGTGCTGTGCTTTAACCGCTGTGCCACCAGGGACGGCGCTGCTCCTTATTCTTATGGCACACAGGGAATACAAGCATTGAACATCTTCTCATCTCAAAATGCTTACCATTACCAAAACAACTGATCAAACCCTTCTCTTACCCGGATGAATGCTATAAAAGTATATAAGTAATCCAGAAGTATGAAAGAAAAGTGTCTCACTTATACTTTATTTCTGCTCTTAAAAGTTTTGAGTGGTTTTATGAAAAATGTCTTAAAGGACACTGGAATACTTTAAAAACCATTTTATTCTGTAAAGGAAGAAAAGCATAGTTATATTAGGTATAGAAGATTCAGGGCTTATCATGGTGTGGTGGTGAGCGAGATTTGGAAGTGTTCGAGTTACTCCGAGAAAACACCTTTGACAGAGCTGAAGATACCTTCACAAGCATATTAGGTCCATGTTTGGAACCACTAGACTTGGGAGTTTCTATGGATAAAGCAGACAATAAATATGAACATTTATTAAAAATTGTAATTGAAGTACTCATGGCAACATTAGAGTTTAGAAATTGACATTTACAAATTACTTTTTGGGATTTAAAAACAAATTTAAATTAGCAAATATTCTTTTGATTTAATCCTTCCAATACTTCTGTGATGAAAACAGGAGGATCACTGTCTCCTGTTCTGGATGCAGCATGTTGGCAAGGTCAAACAGTTTTATATAAGGTCAGATGAGTATAAAGGGGCCACACTAGCAAAGGGATGCTGACAGGCATTCAGACTCTCAGGGCATCTTTATAGGGCATCTTTATGTCTGCTGCTCTCTGAACTCCCCTAGTTAGTTATGCAGAGAATGACCCTTTGTTTCTAGCAGGAAACTACAGAAACCTAATGGGTTGAACTCACAGGAGAAATTAATTTCCAACTTTGTACAGTGACACTATCCAGTTCTAATATTCCTCATTGCCTGTTCTGGGAGATAAATTTTAAGTTGATTATATATATATATATATATATATATAATAGTTGACTGATAAATAAGTCTTTCTTTTTTTTGTAGTGTGAGGTAAGCTCTAGAAATAAAAGAACTTTCAGTTGCTTCATTTCTCTGTACCAAATTGAACAAAATGGTTATTTTATATGAAAATACAAAATTTGGAATGTACTTTTCTGCTACTGTGTGATAGATGTAATAAAGTATAAAAACAAGTGTATATTTGATAACATTCAAATTTTTATTGAAACTTCCATCTCCACTGCCTTTTGGAAAATGCTAGACCTGGAATTTTCCATGGCAGCCATTCAGCTACCAATGAGGCCCACTTTCCTATATTAATAAAATGTGGATGGCTGACCCATGATAAATGTTAGGTCATTATCTCTTATACCCCTGGTTAAAGTAAGAGAATTGCATAACAGTCTGGAAATTGTAACATAAAGATTATGGAATATTGTTTCAATAGTAATACATTTCAGTACTATAAGAAAGTAGCATTTATTTCAAGAGGGTAAATGATCAAAATTATAAATTCAAAATTATGTCACTGAGAATTTTGTTATACTAGTTGTTAATAGGATAGTATATTTCATACCTGAAATTACTTCTTTTGAGTGACACTCACTGCCAAGGATATTCTTGTTTCCTTCATAGATGGTGATAAACTGCCATGACAAAGCAGAATATTAACTCATCTTTTGTTGGGCTTTAGTGGTGAAATACAACTATTGTTTCATCTTATGTAAGTAACAACCTGTGCCCTCAAGGAATTATTCTCTGATACTTTTTGCCAAATATGATATCTAGGATTTTCCCCTCTCATAGTTTGAACCATGGCTACAATTAAATGATGAGCAAATGTTCAGATATTCAAAATCATCTGAAGGTGACAGCTCTGTCTCACGCCTTCCTTTTTTGGCTGAATTGTAATAAATAATATTTCTGCATTCTTTTTCAAAAGTAGATAAAAGGGCAAAAGGAAAATGGATGTTTACTACCAAGTCCCGATTTACTTTAAGGAAATTCTATAGTCTAGACAGTAAGAGGGACTGGGTGTGCAGGCCTAATAGAAGAAGAATGTGTAACATTTACTGGCTTTACTTTTTGGGCTTTTATCCCCTACTTCAAGGACAGATGCAGCAGTTTTCCCAAAAGTAGACTGGGACAGATACCTGGGCTTCATTGTAGCTATTTTCTAATGCTAGCAATTTCAAAAAACAAAAGCAAAAACATGAAAAATCAATGAGGGTCTAAATACATACAATACAAAATATATTATGTATAGATATTATGGTTTTTCCTAGAGTTCCCACAGGAGCATTTGAGGCAGAATGTGTATGAGGATGCAAGCAGCATATGTGAGATGTAAAATGTAGCAGTCAAGTGCCGATATTCATAAATATCTACACAGTAGATTTATCTGTGGACATTTGTTTTTGAATGGTGTGACTCCCTAGCTCCTACACCAACTGAACACCCTAAGGCAGAGGCAGACGTTTGTTTAGAAGAGTCAGAACCCACCGACTTTAATGCAGGGAAGGGATGCTACCCGATTTAAGCTGAGCAGATATACCATGTTCTGCTGAAAATGTCTATCTTTCCATTAGAAGTTAGTATTTGTTATTACTTCATGGACCCTTATTATAATCACTACTTTAAAATTTTTGTCTGGAAATCTCAAAACTTGGCAGCATTGGAATTGGTATCTCTTGTCCTTTCCTTTATGTCTTATAGACATTGTCTTAGTTTTTGGCATGTTAAAATAATTTGGGTTTGTATCCTGGGCATTTTTAATAACTTGATTTTCTAAGCATTCTTAAAATCCTCGTGAGAACTTTTTGTTTGCCTGCTTAAGTAGGTTATTAATGCACTTATTTTCAGACACTCATCTATCCTGCCTTTTATGGCTGTTGTTTTAATGCAAATCCAGATTTAAATGCTTTGCTGTTTCTTTCTCCTTCTTCTTCTTCTTCTTCTTCTTTTTAATGAACACAACTGTGAGACTAAGTTCTTAAAAGCCTTTGTCTTTTATGACTTCACATCAGTTCCATGAATGCACAGCTCAGGAGAAACTACACAAAAAGATTGTAGGGGATCATTTTTTTTTAAAGATTTATTTATTTGTGCATACAGACCTGGGGTACAAGCCAGAGGTTCAGGGGTAGTGAGAGGCTTCACCAGAGACAGAGCGGGGAGCAGAACAGGCAGATCTACGAATTACATTGCTGAGGGGAGCAGCGGGCGGGTCAGGAGAGGTCTGCCATGCCATGTGGTCACCTCCGGGGCAGGCGGGAATCGAACTCATGCGGAAGTGGCTTTAGCTTCTTAGTGCTGTGCTTTAACCTGCTGCATCACCGGGGAGGGCCGGGGATCATTTTTGATATCCACCCTCTCTGATTTCTTGGGATATCTCTAGCCCTGGCACCCCATTTTCTACTTTTCTGTCTAGAATGTTCCACTTTAACCTTCCATGGGTGTTGTCTCACATATCACATGCCTGTGTCCATGTCCAGGTCAAAGTGACAAGGAGAGCAGAGAAGAAATAAGCAGATTTACACTTAATATTATAGAAGATTATAATATTCTCAAGATTATACAAGACCTTTTCTTTACTACTCTGGCCCAAGAGAAATAAGTTTCTCTCACAGTTTTAATTACTCAGCAACCAATACAATGGAAACTTGCCTCATTTGAAGCAAGACCCACCAGATTAGGAAAAAGAGGGAGTAAAATGGCCTCCCTTGCCCTCACAAAGTTTCTTCTCCACTTGAATGTCTTCCTAATTCTGGTAGGAGTGCAGCGGTTTCTGTGGAGCTCAACTCTGCCCACTCCCTCCATTTAATCTCCAGATCTGAATTGCCCTGAATCTATGCTAGGAGACAGGGGAGAAACAATTAACAGGAAACTCATAGTGGTATTAGCTGTGGTCCACCTACACTCCTGCTTTTATTCATTTTGCAGTGCCCTTAATAGTTATCAGTGATATATATGTAGGATAAAATGTGCTTTCTCCAACTTACTTGAACCTGACATGCCTATTAACTTTGGAAAAAAAAAAAAAAACAGCAGATAAGGGTAAGAACAAGAGCATGTTAGGAATTTAGCTTGGCATGCCAGTAAGTGCTTCAGTTGGTAGGTCAGTTTCTCCCTTTTTGTCTTATGATTTTATTTAGAAAGGATGGCTTACATGAAGTGCTAGATAGACAACCACACATTTATACTCATAAAGGAGAATTAATTTGAATCCTCAACCTCAAAGGCACTAGCTCAACCTTTAAAAGTTTACAAAAGCTACCTTAAGTATGCATTATAATATATGACTTTCAAATTTATTCTGATAATGAGAAATAACTGGATAATAGATGGCTTGTATGCATATGGGATTGGGGAGAGACACTTAAGTGTGGAATTAGATTTTTCTAGCAACCAATGTGTTAAAAAACTGGAATAAGGATCAGTAGCTTCAGTACTCATTTGAAATACTGTAAGAGAATTAAGGAAGAGGAAAATTCCTGAGTTTATACTGGAAGTTGGCAAGACTTTAAGGAAGTAGGCTTTCAAACAGTCTTAAGTTATGCAGAGAAGTAGATGGAATCAATTCATATCCAGTGAGCCACTGTGCTCCATTTTATACCCTCCCTGCCTCAAGCAAGTGTCTCCTTGGGTCTCCCTGCCTTTAACATGTTCAAGTGACTCATTCCTTCTGAGGTTTTCTCCACATACTGCAGTAACACATTAAGGGATAGACACTTGGGTAAAGAGGAGCTTATTCTGGACACTTAAACCAGAAATGATGACTTAAGCTAAAAGTGAGAAATTTTATTGGGGGAGTTTTGGGTAGTAGGGACATTTCTCAGCCAGGCTTAGAGATTTGAATTATGAAAAAGGAATGCTTCCCGATGCCCCCCAGATTTTAACACTATGTCCCTGATTTGACAACGAAAACTCTAGTCTATTCAATTGGACCCTATGTATGCCAGTTAGTAGTTTTTTTTGTTTGTTTGTTTTTAAAGAATGCTTACCTTAAAGCTGTTTGAATTCTCTGGCTTTTGTTCCCGGGAACTTTCTGTGTGAGGAAAGAGGGGACTAGAAATTAGTTCTAAAAGCATTTTTTTAGTACATTTTGGTAGCTCTAAGGGCAAAGGGAAGATACATTCTCTGAAAAATTGTTAAATCCTATTACTATAGATTCTGTTTCAAATATAAGATATTGTATGATGTATTCAGAGTTATGGTTATTTCTCACTGATATTAATTTGTAATACATCATCTATTTGACCAAAATCCTTAATAAAATTTTGATAATAGACACAAGGCAGACTAGCTGGCTCATTTTAACACCTGAGTGATATAGAAATGGATCCTATCATAAAAGTAGATACGATCACACACACACACACACACACACACACAAAACTATCAGCTTTGGATTTGACAGCTAAAAAATTTCATCAAAGCAGTAAAGTGTTTTAGAATACATTCTATTTAAAATTAAGAAAAATAATAGATACAACCTTCTAATCTCTTAGCATTTGCATCTGGGATATGGTCTTCAGTCTCACTAAAACAAAAGAAAAAATATATTTCATTTTCTATGTATTTAACAAATGAATGTTGAAATTATTAAGGTCAAGAAAAATCTTTCAGCAATTTTTTATATAGATATAAGCCTAGGGTGGTATATCTTGAGTTTCTAAATTGAATGAAAATTATTTATAAATTTCCTTTTTAGTTTTTAGTGTGTGGGGATGTGGGGGGATGTGGGGATCCTTGTTTGTTTTTTTTTCCCCATGTTACTACAGGGAAAAACTTTCAGGCTTTCTTCTGAGTACAATGTTATTTGTAGGTTTTTATATTTGGCTTTTTCTCTTTGTTGAGTACTACTATCAATGAAAGGGTGTTGAATGTTGTTAAATCATTTTCCAAATCTTTTAAGGTGAGAATATGCTTTTCTCCTTCATCCTGTTGCTTTCCATTGGTTTGTTTTACTATGCTGAAATTCTCTGGTGTTTTGGATAAGTACATATTCATAGAATATAATACATTTAATAGATGTTGTTTTTAATATTTCTAGTATACCGTTGCTAGTATTTTGTTGAAAATGTTTGCATCAATATTCATTAGTGATACCAATGTGTAGGTTTTTTTTTTTTTTTTTGTAGCATCTTTGTCTAGGTCTGGTATGAAGCTAGGACTGGTATCATGAGTTTTTTCTCCATGTTTTTGTGGAGGGTCAGTGTTAGTTATCTGTTAAATATTTGCTACGATTTGTCTGGTCTTGACTTTTAGCTAGGGAGGTTTTTGATTACTGGTTCAATCTCTTACTAGTTATACTTCTGTTGAGGTTTTCTGTGTACTCATGATTCAATCTGATAGGTTATATATTTCTCAGAATTTTTTCCATTTTCCCGAGGTTATCCAACTAGTTGCAATATAACTGTTCATAATACTCTCTTATAATCTATTTCAATTTTTAAGGTTTATTTTTATTTATGCATACAAGAACTGGGGTATAAGCCAGAGTTGCAGGAGATGAGTGGATTCACCAGAGACAGAGTGGGGAGCAGAACAGACAGATCTATTGAAATACACTATTGAGGGGAGCAGCAGATGAGAATGGAGAAAGAGGTCTGCTGCACCATTTGGGTCACCTTACTGGCTGGGGATTTAACCTGCACTGCAGTGGCTGCTGACAGCTTCATAGTGCTTAATGTTAACACTTGCACCACCAGGGAGACCCTCTATTTATTTTTAATGGCAGCACTGGTTTGACAATGTACAGATTCAAATATAGAGTTTCTCACTTCAGCAAGTTTATATCACATCACCCTCCCCACAAATGTCCAATCATTCTCCATCATCAGCCAATTGATATCCTCTTTATTTTCCCCAACTTCCCTCTGGGACACACCATTCTGTTGTTAGGCTTCAAGATCTAAATTTTGTTTGTTCATTTGCTTTGTTTTTTATATCACACAAATGAGTTTATGAAATCATATGGTATTCACCTCTTTCCTTCTGATATATTTCATTTCCTTCTGATATATTTCATTTCATTTAATTCCTCAGTGTCTATCCATGTTGTTACACATGCCAAAATTTCATCTTGTTTATTTGTTAATTCATTATTCTATCACATGTATGTTAAAATAACTTTTATACAGTGTTATGGATAGGCCAGGAACAGATGTCCCAAAATAGTGTGTGTCAAAAAGAAACAAACTTATAATGATGCCTAGGGAAAAAAAAGTCACCAGATAAGATTTTTTTTTCCTTATAATTATCACCTTTTGCTTAATAAGACATGCTAACAATTCCAGGTTCTGAATACCTTTATAAAGTTAAGAACAATTTGACAAGTTCTAGCTATTCTAGATATATTTGTTAATTATATTTCAAGTCTACAATGACATTTGTTCTTCTCTCCTCTCTATATATGCCACAAAACGCAGACTTTGCTCCTACAGTCATTGGGCAAACATGGTTTATCTTCTCCTTATGTAAATGCTCTCCATCCTTATAGGCTCACATCAAGCTGCATACTTTCTAGAATTTGTTGAATGTTTTAATTTACACTTCCCCCTCTCTTTGGATTACTTTTATAGGCAGTTATATATGCTGAGACATTGAACTACTTAAGAGAGTTAAGCAGGAACTCCTTGGACTGATAGTATAGATTCTATTGTGACTCAGTATCTGTCTCCCAGATTGCAACAAAAACAACAAACACATTAACAAATTCTTAACCTTAACACTGTTGGACTATAAGGTTTATAGAGACTACTTAATTGGAAATGGGGAATCAGGTACAAAGGGGAAAATTTGTGAAGTATCCAGAATGGAGAGATTTGAGGGAAGAATAAGAAGTGAGAGAAGGGCTAGGACTGAATACTTTTCTAGTCATAGTTTTACCAGGGACCCTGTTTTTCCTATAAACATTACTGTCATCTTGGATTTATATGTTATATTGTTTTAATTTCATGTACCCAGCAGATGAAATCAGATCTTCTTGGTTGTATGAAGATGAACTCATAATTCTGTGTATGAGGTAATGTGTTGGTTCAGCAGTATTCTTTTCTTCTTTCTGGAAAAGTGCAAATCAGGTATCACATAAAGTTGAATTTGATATGTACTTTCTTACCTATTGGCATGTTCTGCATTCTATACTATAATAAGAAAAAGTTTTAAGAATTCTTAAAGGATGAATGAACCCTTTAATTCAAGTTAAAATGTCTTTTTCCAATGTAAATTTTTAGAAGTGACTTAATGAATATGATCTCTGTTATAATATTGGTGTTTAAAAGATGTGAAAGAGAAAATGAGTACAATGTTTGAAGAATGTGGTTTTCCATTTGTGCATTAACAAATGCTTCAAATCATGTTTCACTGAGTTCAAAAAGAAAAAGAACAGAAATACGTTATCTCCCTCTGAAGTTTTCCAGGTAAGTCACCTTAGTCAGTTGCTCTGATCTGTTAGCTCAGAAGTTATGTGTGATTTCATAACCACACCTTTTATGAAAATAACTTTATTGTGAATCTGTTAGAATCTCAAAAAAAAAAAAATAGCATATCTATGAAGCCAGCACTTTCTATATGAGGATCAAGAAAGCTTTTCTGCAGATTTCATCCTGTCATGATATCACATTTAGCTTCTTAACAAAGAGCTCATTTGTTATGATGACTTAATCTGTTAGCCTTTTGAAATGAATAGAGTTGTATATCTTTTCTTCATAGCTTTTGGGCAAATCTGCAAGTCATACACTTTCCAAAAACATAGTCAAAAACAGAGGGCCAGCCTAAAATGTCTATAAAATACAGACCACCATTTAAAGGGATTGGTATTACCTTATGATGATAGTGGAGTATGGTGTAATTGCAACGGTGATTTTTAAAATATTGTCATAAACTTGTTTATTGGGCAAGTTGGTTTTAAGGGACTTAAGAAAATAGTTGAATGCATAATTTGCCCAAAAGTCACATAGCAATTAAATGAGAATTTGGACCATCTGAATCAAATCGAGATCATCTGCATTTGTTTGTGTATTTTTGTATTTCTTTCTACTTCATTCCATATCATGGTGTTATCTTATTTGAAAAAGGCTTCTCTACACAAAATATTCAAATGATATTTACCAGCCAAAACACAAATACCAGATTTAAATGTCTAGCTTATATTTGTTTAGATAGGTACCATTTTCTGTTCTTGTTGAACCTTTAATTCATCTAAGGCTCTTCCAATTGGCTTCACTCCTTCAGTTGTTTCATGAATTCATCACTATTACTGATTTCTCTTAAACTGTCATTGCTATCAGACTTAGGAGTAGTTTGAAGCCATCTTATAGAATTCTTTTCTAACTAATTAATGTACATCCTTGGACAGAATTTCAGAGCATTTCTACACTTTCCATAGATATCAGTCACTAACTGACCATGTTTTTCACTAACCTTGTGCTGTGACATTTTCTCCCTCGTTGAATCTGTGTCAGTGAAGCTTGTTGAGGGTCTGGCCATGGAAAGCTTAGCAACAGCTCTTTTAATTTGTCTCTCCGTAGGTTCTATTATAGGATTTGAGGTTGCTTCAATATTTTCAATATTTGCACTGGATGTTGGCTGACAACATTTGCTTATTGACAAAAATTTTTTCAGGTTGCTTGTGCTTATTATTGGCTTGGGAGAAAAAACTTTGCTTCCTACTGGGCTTATAGTCTCTTTAATTTTAGATTCAGATTTTTCTAATATTTCTTCTTTTGTAACCTCTCTTAAAATAACTTCTTCATTGTCAGATTCCTCTTCCCTGCTACTTTCTGAAGCTGCTTGTTCAATATCATGAGCTACTAGTCGAATAATAAGTTCTTCTTTGTTGTGAACATCTTTTAAAAGCTCTACTTTGGTGATATCAGGCTTTCTTACATTCTGAAATGAATTTCTGCAAGCAGCCTGGAATTTAATGTACAATGAACATTAAAAACAAATAACTATATTTTCTTATGGCCCTATTTTATTTTAGTATGACATCTAGTTTGACTTAAATAATATCTTCAAATGTTAATTACTTTATGTTAGCAATATTTTAAAAAGAAAAAACAAGGATTGTAAGAAATATATAACAGGATATCTATAAGAAATATGTAAGAATATGTATGTCACTGCCTATTTGTTTTCCATTTAGAAAAGATACTAATCTATCATAACATAATCCAAGGTATAAAGGGAGGTCTAACATGTTTATTTCTTTTCCTTCCTTTTCCATAACTTTAGGAAACTAACTAACTTAACTGTACTTTTCTGCATCATAGTATTTTATATTTTTTTTTACCTTAAAAGTGTTAGGATAGTAGACTGCTAATCTATTTTTTTTTTTGAAATCCTATGTAGACCATCATTGATAAACTTAAATTTAGGTATTTTCAATAAAAAGCAAATCTTTGCCTGATCATGAATTTAAAAAAGTGATGAGTAGTTAAAATTGTGACAGTCTTTGGATATTTAAACATATTCTCCACTCCAGATACTTAGAACTGATTTTCCATGGGATACTTCAAGTCATATATCTTCTTTTTCTCTCTCCCCCTTACTAAATTCTAGCTTTAGTGTGCAAAGACAGTTATAGCTAACAGAATTTCCCTATTTCTGTATCCAGTGCATTACCACAGAAGCTCAAAATTTATCTGAGTTCATTATAGACTTCAATATTCCTTTCTAACTTTCTAAATCAATCTTTCAAATAATGATACCATAAAAGAATGTTTTCTGTAGAAAGAAACTATAGAAACAGCTTCCTTAAAACATAGTAAATTTTGGTTTTCTCTTAAATAGAGTAAATTTAGCAATTCCAAAATCTTCCTATCTGTTTTTTCAATTTGTTACTATATATGATTTAATATGTACATGCCTATTATTTTGGGAAAACAAAACAAAAAATTGAGCTCTGAAGTGGAGACAATTTTCTAATTGAATCTGCATTCTCTCTCTTCTCTGTCCCTATGCAGCAAATAGATAGCATTGGTATCCAATTTGTAGCAAGCCTTATGTCTTAAAAAAGTTCTCTATGTTTTTCCTCGTTTGATTTCAGTTTAGGGAGGCTTTTCTTTCTTTTAAGAGGCTTGAGTTAATTTTTTGTTTTACATGTTTTTTTCAGCTTTCTGTGGGCTATTAATACTTTAAGAGAGCTGGTAACTAAAAGTGATGATTATGATAGACATTTCCACAGATAACTAAAAAATTATTTTGAGTATTCTATTAACACAAATTTACTTCCAAGGAAATATTTCCACGTGGATGAATGACCAAGTTATATACTAATGCAATTATAAGAACTCTTGTATACAGAGGGCATTTTGGAGATAGAAAGGACCATCATTTGATTCAGAAGATTTAGAAAGAGGTTAAATTATTACTCAGCCCATGATAATCTCAGCAGTTGGTCATGAACATAAGACAGTAACTAACGTGTTTACCAGTCCTGAATCACAGTTCAGTGGAGAAAACTCACTTATGCTCCAAGTAGTATGATTTCATTAAACTTTGTTAATGGTCCAGGCCAAAGATTATATCACTAAGCACACTCAATTCTCTTATGAGTGAACACCATCAGTACCTAGAGCTTTGATAAATGTCAAAATGTATAGAGCAACTGTATTGATATGAAAACTCCTTTTCCCTCAGTGGAAAAGCTTCCTTGCAATAATGATATATCATTGAATATATTTGGAGCCCAGGTTATGTTATAGAGCTTCAAGGCAAAAGTAGATCTATAAAAATGGTAGCATTAGGACAGCTGGTCAGCCCAAGGATAAAAGATGAAGAAAACTAGTTACTTCATAGAAATTGAGTAAGTCTAACATAATTGAAATAATAAAAAAGTATAATCTAAGAGTCTGCAGTCTACAGTTTGTTGAGGAATGTTGCTAAAAGTAAAAAAATAAAAAAATGTTGCCACTGTACACTCAACACTGACATTCTATTAATTGGTCCTTTTAAAATCCTTTACAATATATCCATAGTAAAGGATGAAAACTAAAGGAATTAAGAGATTGTATTTCTTTTAAACCTTCAGATGAAGATTGTAATTTTAACCTGATTTTACTTTTAAGATCATACTTCTGTAGTCTTTATTGAAAATATAATGACAGCTTAAACTGGCACTAGGAAAGTTAGCCTAAACTCTTTGAGAGTAATCCACAAAATAGACATGGCAACTTCTAGTCCATCATCTAACTATGTCGCTGACCAATTCTCTGTTTAAGCTGGGCAGTAACATTAAAAATGTTTTTCTATAAATCTATTAGAGGGAAGGAATCACTCCTTTTTTTTTTGGTACTAGCTAGTCACTTACCTCTAAGGGTCTTACATCTAGTCGTCCCAACTTATTCAGTGATATTCGTCTCTCTCTCTGTATTTTGCTCATATCAGGTATGTCTGGTGAGAGGTAACCTTTCCCACTTATTGATGCTTTTCTCAGTTCTGTTATGCTCTGTCCTGTATTTCTTAAACACTCCTTCTTTAGTTTCTCAATAGGTTTAGTTTTTACAGAAATTACTGCTAAGTGTTTTGAGATAATGCCTGGGTCTATTTTGATTGGTTTTTGTCCAATATATGGAACTATTTTTATTGGTAGTCCCTCTTCCATTAAAGTTTGATTCGACATGCTCTTTGATTCAGCAGTCATTTTATCAGCATGCTCTTCTGCCTTCTGAACAATTCTGCTAATGTCTAAATCACTAAAATGATCAACATTTGAATTCACTGAAATCACTCTCTCTAATGGACAATTTGTAACTTCAGTAAGAATTAAACTAGCCACTTTTTTAGGGAAGACTTTGTTTGCATCTTTTATATCATAATAAAGTTCTTCCTGGGTTCCAGATTGTTGCAATACAGTACTATAAATTGAATCAATGACCTGAGAAACCATTTCTATGCTTTCTGGTTGTAAAATGTTATCTGCAGGGTCAGCAGCAACAAGATTAATATTGCTTTTAGAAATTTCAGCTGTCACGGACTTTGTCAGTTGTGATGCAATCCTATTTAATTCAGGCTTTGATAAGGGCTTTTCATCTTTGCTTGAAGTGCTTGGCAATTTTACTATTTTAGCCAAGAATAAGGCTAATGCTTCTTCTAAAAATGTGGCATCTAACATAGAACCTTTTATGGATGAAGATTTGCCTTGGGAGTGAAATTCATCAAGAATTTTGATCACTTTTTTCATAACTTTGACAGTTTCTAGAACTAATTCTGAACTTGATACTTCTTCTTCTTCTTGAGGTTGAAATTCATAATTTGAAATTTCCTTCACCATTAAAAAACCTATTATATCAGAAAGTACATTACTCTTACCCATTAAATCTTTAAGTACAGAAGTTTGTGAGCCAGAGTGTTTTAAAATATTGGCATACACAGAATTAACAACTTTTTCAATAGTTGCATTGTCATCTGAATGCATAGTAGGCAATTCTTTGGCTGGTGGTACAAGTTTAATCTTACTTTTAGAGATAAATTCTTGTATTGAATTTAATATTTTTGAGGTTATGTTTTGCATTTCAGTTTGTAGAGAGTTGTTCCTATCCTTGTCGACATTTGGAAATATAGATAAGAGCTTTGATAAAAATTTTACAGCAATTTCTTCCACTATGTTACAAGGCAGTGTGTGAGCCTGGGGTGGTGGGAGGTGGGGAGCATCAGCGGTTTGGACAACATCTTTAAGAATATTTTCAACAACGCTGTCAACTTCTGCACACTGATTTGGAGTTAACTCTCCAGAAAAATAGTTCTGCAGTTGATTTCCAGCCACTTCTCGTAGAACTAAGTCAACTATGGCTTCTGAAAGAATTCTGCATCCACTGGATACACAGTCCTTTATGATCTCTTGTGATCCAAACTGTGATAAAAGATTATCATAAATAGAATGAACCACCAATTGAATAATTTCATCATCATTGGGATGTAAGGATTCTACATAGTGTATAATCATATCTTCATCTTTGGAGATCTCAGTTTTAATTATACTGATTAATTTAATTTGAAGAAAGTCCAGTTCTGTGAACAAGTTGCCTATAGATAGTTCCACTTCAATGTTGGAGTCTGTTGAGAAAATTTTAGATAAAAGAGCAGAAACTACTTTTTCTAAGAACTCATGAGTTAGCATGATGGTATATGGTGATGATGTCTGACATTCTTTGCTGGCTGTTTGAACCACCTTTTGGACCTTTTTAACAACATCTTTAGAGTCCAAAGGCAAGCATCCTGAAGCTGGAATCTCATCACAAAATATCAGATTAAGCTGATGTTGAAGAATTTCATTTATCACTGAACTAGTTAATTGTCTTGCTATTTTTTCCCCATTACTGTTTATATCCTTACAAATGGAGTCTTGAGATCTGTGCTCTTTCAAAATATTGCAGACAGAAGAGTGAACAATTTTGTTGACCATTGTTTCACTGATCAGTGGTATTTTATCTAGAAAAGGTATTTTATTTGAAGAGGATTTTTCAGGCATTTTATTCTTATTTGGCATTTTATCCACAGTTTTTCTCTTAATTCTGGATGAATCTGTAGTTGATTCTTTATGCCTCCCAGTTTCTTTAGGAATTGGTGACAATTTGCCTATAGGAGGAGGAAACTGATTTTCCCTTTCTGGCCTAAATACCTTAATTTGAGCATTGGCAAACTCTTTTAACAGTGAATCAGTAAGTTTCATAGCTGTGTCATAGAGCTGAGTTTGACTTTCATCATTATTTACATCTTGATATCTATCATCTGCTTGTGTTTTTGGTGAGGAGGAAAAGATCAATGTGTTAACCATTTCAGTGATGACATCTTCTAAAAATTTAGCAGGTAAAATCCCAGGTTTATTTTTTCGTGGGTACTGAGAATCTTCTGGGTTAGTTGGTTCATTTTTAACCTCCTTGACATTCACTTTCTCTTTCTCCACATCCTGCTTTTTGTCACCTTGCTCCCCCCTCTGCCCTTTTTCCTCATTCTCTTTGTCAGGGAGGCTTATTGTAGGGGCTAAGTCCTTTGTTGGTACAGACTTGGCAAAGTCCTTGTCAACCTTTTGAATTATAGTCGATGCTGTATCACTTGAAGATTTTGAGTAATCTGATTCTCGAGAACAGCATAGATGTAACACATTGTCATAAATATTTCCAATGACATTTTGGATATGCTCATATTCTTCGTTTGGTTCCTCATTTGTATCTACTTGAGTCTGAGAGTCTTTTCTCTCTTGATTCTCTCTCTTTTGGATGTTTGTTTCCAAAGTGTTCTCTGTCATGGTCCCTATATTTCTCACTTCAGATACCAGAGAAGAGAACTGAATGGACTTGTCACTTTTTCTTAAAGAAGTTGCTCTTGTTTTGTCAGTCTTCTTTTCATCAGCAATTTCAGAATCTGGTTCAAGCACGTTTGTCATATATTCTGTATCATCAGGAGCTACCAACAATTGTGTATGTGCCACATTACCTTGCTTTTCTTCATCTACTGAAATTGACATACTTGTCTTTTCAATTTTACTTTTTGTAAGTGTTCCCGTCAAATTTGACTCCTGAATGTCTTTACTTTTCACACTAGTAGTGGGAGAAGTAACCTGTGATATAGTCTCGTATTTTTTATTTGAAATTTCCACTTTAACTTCACTCTGTTTCTTTTTATTATTTGCCATATCTGCAGGTGACCCTGATAACAAGTTAGTCATGTTTTTTGTAATACTAGCTACAGCAGTAACTATCGGATCTTGGATGGCACTTTTTTCCAATGGTGTTTTTTCAGTTTTGAAACTGTTCTTTTTACTCATCATGTATCCTTCTATTTCTAAAGTGTCCAACACTTTTTTCTGGGCTGAGATTGGAGAAGTTTTTTCACTTGATTGTTCTGGTAAAGTAAATTGGTTCCCCTTTAAACATCTGTTGATCTGTGGGGAAGTTTCCTGTGGTATGTGTTGAACCTTCTGGGTGACTTTATCTGGATTTAGAAAAGAAAAGAATGTGGATGACCAGTCTCCTGAAAAAAGTGTTTGAATCTTAAAAGCAGAGATGGCTTTCTGGGCTAAAGTGGCAATCACTTCTATAAAAATGTTATCTTTTCCATCCGTCTGAATATCATTGGATCCATAGTTTACTATAAACTGATCATATACAAAGTTGGATATATTATCAATTGTCTCTTTATCAATGGGTGGAAATGAAAATAACTCTTCAGCATTTTGTAGAACCTTAATTTCACTTTTCCTAAATTCTCTTATCAGAGAGTTTGTAAATTTTATAGCCAACCCAACAATGTCTGGCTCTGGCATTTCTTTTTTCTCAGACTCTTTAGTAATACTTGGAAGAGGATAAAATTTACGAACGAGGTTAACAATTACATCTTCCAAAAATGTAGCCGAGTATAGAGAAGGCTGTCTTTTTTCTTTATCAGGATCAGTAAGAACAGACACATGGCTAGTATCAGGTAAGTGACTCAAAGATGATTCTTCATCATGTAAAAATGGCTTCAGATGGTGATCCAGAATTCCTTTCATAATGAAACCAGCTATTTTACTGAGGAAAGAGCCTCCCTTTTTGCCTGTATCTTTCTGTACTTCAGCTTGAAATTCAGATTTTTTCAAAATATTATTACATACAGAATCAATCAAATTCTCAATTGCTTCTAATTGTGTACTTCCTGCATTCTGCTCTGCTGTAGCAAGACGGATCTCATGTTCAGAAATTTCTTCAATAATTTCATCAGTCAATTTTGAAGCTGCATCCATAAACTCATCACCTGAAACCTCTTCCTCACTTAGTTCATTTTCAGAGTTGGGTGAAGGAAAGATATGGGTTAGCAGCTTGTAAATCATGTCTTCTAAAAGAGAGCGAGGCAATACAGTAATACATGGAGAAAAGGCAGGTCTATTATTCATGACAACATTGAGCACATTTCTGATGATATTATCAGCGTGGGGCAAAGAATAGGAAGAAGATGACGCTAATCCCCCTGAAACTAATGACTGCACCTGATAATCATAAATTTCTTCCAATATCAAATGATATATTTTCCTTCCAAAACAAGCAGGATCATATTGTATATCCTTATATACTTGAGTCAGAATTTTATATTCATCTAATATTTTTTCATAAATTATGTTGACTGTTTTTTGAACCATTTCTTTGTATGTTTCTGAAAAACACATTTTCTCATCAAAGTTATCTGCAACTAAAATCTCTGATGAGGTAAACTCCAGAACAATTGATTTTACTAATGTTGTAACAATGTCAGTAATTTTGATGTTTACTGTTTCTGGATCTTTGACAGTCAAGCTAGGAAGTGAGAATTCACAAAGGAGTTTACATAAAAGTTCAGAAATTACTTCTTCCAAAAAGGAGGCTGAATTCACAATGAGAGACAGTTCTTCTTGTTTAGGATCTATTGCTTTCTGCTTATAAGTTTTATCAGTTGAAGGTGGAAAGAGTTTTTTATCTTCTGATAAAAATGACTGAAGATGGTGGTTAAAGATTTCTTTTATTATAAAACTTGCTATTTTTGAAACAGGTATGTTACTAACACCTTTTTTATCATTTGCATGACACAGGGGTAGATTTAAATGCAAAAGATCAGCATAAATGGAATCAGCCATCGACTGGATATCTTTTTCTGAGATCATACTTTGTTTTTCATTTCTGTGTTTAGTAATACATATTGCATGCTTTGAAATTATTGACATGATTTCATTGATCAGTTTTATGACTGTGTTACTTAAATCTGATTGAGAATATTCTGGATTTTCTTTATTGGATGTCAGTGAACTCATTTGGGATATAAGCTGGGTGACAATTTTTTCCAAATCAGTATTTGATAACTTAGTAGTATATATTGTTGAAGCTTGTCTTCGGAATCTTGATTTTGCAATGTCACAGTGAACTCTCTTTATCAAGACATTAGTATTAAGTTTGTGATGTGGTATAAAAGGAAGCTTTGCTGTAATATTTGGATGAATTTGGAAATCAAAAGTTTCATCTAGTAGAATTTTAGTTATCCTTGCAGCTAATGTCTTAGTGTCATCTAGAAAATTTTTATCAGGCATTATTTCCATTTCATACTCTTGTAAAACTTTGCTGTATATCATATCAATAGTGTTTTTGACTATCTCTCTCTCCACTGGAGGCAAACACAATTGCTCCTCAGCATTTTCAAGAATGTTAACTTGGGATTTTGAAAATTCCTCTGCTATCAAATGTATGAGGTTTTCAGCTTTATCAAACAGTTCGTCTTCTGTATGTATTACCGATTTTGTTTGTACAATGCCTATCACCCTGTGGAATATTTTACTTAAAACTCCAGAGACCACGTTTTCTAAAAAAGTTGAGGAGTAAACACTGGCATTAAACCACTGCCCTTCCTTCTTCTCCACATTTCCATATGATGAAGATGATGCCTTTCCATCCACAAATGGTTGAAGATGTTGTTTACAGATATATTTAATGATAAAGCCTGCTATTCTGTCAATAAGTATATCGTTATTGCTTGAAATATTTTGCTCAGTTGATTCTGGATACTCAGAGTCTTGAGAAATATTTTCAAATACTGAGTCAACAAGATGTTGAACTTCATCATCTGAATATACAGTCTTAGTTTCTTCATCATTTGAAAACCGAATTTCATGTTGGGAAATTTTCATCCTAATATCACTGATTAGCTTTGAAGCAACTTCATTGAAATTGCCTCTTGATCTGTCTTTCAGTATTTCTCTGTTTGGAATACTACTAGTTACAGATGGAAAGATTTTAGATAGTAGTATTCTGACCATGTCTTCTAAAAAGGTGTATGGCAGCAGAGTATTATAGGGAGATAAAATCTGACCAGGAATGGCAGATTTACTGATGTTACTTAGGATATCCTGAACAATAGTATGAGCTCTTGACATGGAGCAGGAAGCAGTTGACAAATCCCCAGAAAACAGTGGGTGAAGAAGATAATCTGAAATAGCTGCTGTGACTAGCTTGGTAATATTTTCCACAAATATATCAGTGTCTTTTGTATTGTTATCAACATCAGGATCTAGCCCATACTGTTTTAAAACATTTCTGTAAACTGAGGTAACAAGATTATCCACAGTATCTGAGTCCGCAAAGGGGTAAAACTGTGTGTTACCATTTGGAATGTTAATTTCAGCTCGGTCAAAATGACTTTTTATTGAATTTACTATTCTTTGGGTCATGTTTTCCATTTCAGTTTCAGTGTTATGCTTTGGACTGAAAATCTTTGATAGAAGTCTGGCAACAATTTCCCCTACAAATGTATCAGGATAAATGCCTGAGGGTGATTGGTTCTCGGGTCTGTGAGACTCCAGGACTTCACAGAGAACTTGCTTAACCATACTTGATACTGAATCCAGTGGAGTTTTGGGACGAGATAAGTCTTCACCAAACAGAAATGGCTGGAGGTGATTTTCAATAATCTCTTGAATTATAAGACTGGCTATTTTGTCAACCATAACTGGGCTTTGGCTGACTATACTTTTCTGTATGGAAACAACAGAATCTGACATGTGCACAAGGTTACTATAAACAGAATCTACCATCTTTTGTAGGTTTTCACCTGTATGTAGATACTGATTATCATACATTGTGAACCAAATTTTATGTTTTGAAATGGCTGCTATAACCTTATCTACTATACAGGTGGACTTTTCATTAATATCTGAACTCATGACATATTGTTTTCCCAAAGAGGAAGTCTTGCTGTGTGGAGGAATGAGTTGAGATAAAAGCCTTCTGATGGTATCTTCTAGAAAGGAATGTGATAACATGGTACAATAGTCTGTGGAAGACCTGGCTTTAGAAGTAAATTCTCGAAGATTATTTTGAAGTTTCTGCAAAATAACTTCAGCATTGAGAGGGTAATATGAGTTAGGTATGACCTTTCCCCTGAAGCAGGCTGGGAGCTGGTAGTCTAAAGTCTCTAACAATAGGCCATTAGTTATTTGTTCTACTATTGAATTACTGTCATGTGCCAGACTTTTATCACAGGTCACTTTCATCTTATAGTGCTGTAAAACATCACAATAAACAGAGTTAACAATCCTACTAACTGTTTCTTTGTGGATTGGTGGGAAACACCGTCTTTCTTCAGCATTTCTTAAAACAGTGACTTGTGAATTGTTGAGTTCCTTCACTACATTGTTGACTAATATTGTGTTCATCTCACTGAGTTTGGTCTCAGTAATGTGTTCATGTTGACTCCACAGGGAAGTAGAAAGATTAAAAAACAGTTCTGAAATTACTTCTTCTAAAAACATGGCTGAATAAACACGTGTATTCCTGTCATCTGGATAGAGCTTATTGATGTGTAATGTATCCATTTTTTTGGTTTCTGGTCTTTTAAAAGGTGACAAAGAAGGGGAACTTACTGAATACTTTCTGCCAAATGGTGCTTGTAATTTGGAACGAACCACACTGGGACTATTTAAGGATGTTGTCAAGGAATAACAGTTATCACTTATGAATCCAAAGGAATTTTTACTTTGCACTAATTCTGTTAGCTCTGATCTTTTTCCTTTTATAGAACTAGATTGTCTTTTTCTTGTTCTATATCTAAGATGCCTGTTTGTAAAAGGCAAACTTTGAGGGAATTGTATGCTGTCAGATAGTTTGTCCATCAATGATTTAACCAAGCTGTGAGAAATAACAGTAAGCATAGAGTCTGATGACAATAAATCTTGATCCATATCTGCCAGATTTTCCAAGAGATCTGACATATAATCTCCTTGAAATTGTTCAGAATCCATAGGTGCATTTAAATAACCAAATTCTTCATCTTCTAAACTTTTTAGAAGTTGACACTCTCCTGTTGATGTTTCGTCAGAGAGAGAGTCATTATCAAGAAAGACATTGTTTGTGCATTTTTCCAAAAGAGTTCTAATAAGTTTCTCACATATGACATTGAGAAGAAAAATAGACTTTGGGGTGAGTCCTAGATTGTTTTCAAGACTGCTACTACTTTTTTGACCATTTGAAGGTAAGAAAAATGTGCTTGCCCTCTTATCAGAATCCATAGTGTCACCTTGGCATTCATCTGGTAAAAATAATTCTAAAACAATATTAAATACTTTATTGACTACTTCTTTGGATTCAGGAGATTTTAGGCTACCAACCAAACTGTCTAACTTAGCTGCCAGATAATTTAATTTGTTTTTTTGAATGAGATGATCATTTTGGTGTCTAGATGATTCCTTATTTTTGGAGTCTGTCTGTCTTCCCATGGTATTTGTTTTGTTGCAAATGGGAACACTGTGGGTTTTCAGCAAGGAAAAGGACTTCTTTATTCCTTTACTTTCAAGGTGATGTGTTAACCCTATTTCTTTGGATAATACATGAATCACTCCTATTAAGAGATCCTGAAAGAGATCATCAAAGTCAGAAACAGCTACTCCTGGGCAGTAAATGTACTTTGTTTTTAAAGAAAATGTTTTCTGTGTAATCTCAGGCTCTATAATGTTACCTTTAAAAAGGATTTCAGTAATTATTTCAGAAATACTTAGAGCAAGTTCTCCAATAGAAATTGACCTGCTTTCGAACATTTGTGAATCAATTGAAATACTCTGGTTAAATGATGCAGCTTGGCTTTTCCAGGCTTTCTCATTTTCTCTACTATCACTTGTATTATCAGAAATACTTGAGATTAAATGATAAATGACAGACTCAGTGAGATGTTCACAAAATTGATAAAGTGAAGAGTTATTATATATACTTCTTAAAGGCTGCTTTGATTCATATATTTTTCTTGACAGTGTAGAAACAATAGATACCTTGTTCTCACTGGAAACTTGAAAAAAGGAAACATCAGTTTTAGTATTAACTAAGGGAATTATGATAGCTTAAATATATTACTAGTTAGTTACATATGAATTTTTACTTTGGGACAACTAAAGAAAATTAAAACCCTAGTCAAGAAGAAAATTGGGCTTTCTTCTCATGTTTAGTTCCTACCTTATAGAATCATAATTTTAGCCAGAATGTTGAGAAAATTAACCTGAAGAATTCAAGTCTCTAACCAAGTGCCAATATCTGTGTCAATATCTGTATTTTTTATATGGTTACTGGCTTTCAGAAGCCACACAATTCCATATATATATA